TGTGTAAAACATGAGGTAGTATGGAAATAGGGTATAAGATCTACTGTAGTCAGAAATATGTAATAGATAAGTCTGTATGGAAAATACAGGTTTTTGTTTGTTTGTATGTAGGTATGTCTTAAAAATAATAAAAAACTTAAAAAAAGAGATGAAAACACATCCGAAAATAATAGACGTCAATCTACCCTATCTAATACTCACACCTTAGCAGAGAGATAGCATACTGTGGGGATGTTCACATGGTGCACCCTCCCAGCATGGCTTCACAGGACAGCAAACAGATCCAGTCTCTCCTTAGAGTTGGCCTAAGTCCCTTCAAGGCATCATAGAAAAGCAGGGGAGCAAAGCACTTTTTTCCTTAGAAATATGTTAGGCTAACTAACTAGTTTTCCTAATCCCTTTTGTACAAGTAAATGGCCCATTATAGACCTGTTGCCAACAACATCTTAATCCCCTTTCACGTTCCATCAGGACAAAAGGCATTTTCTAGACCTGCTCCACCAGCCAAATCTGCATAACTCTCTGGGGAAAAAGTGGACAGTTTCCTTTCAAGTCAAGAGTTCTAGTAAGGTGTTGGAGTCCTTTTGGGGAGGCTTTGAAATGCCCTCTGATACAAGATAAGCATGGAGGCATCTGTTCCTCATTTAGTCCTTTCTTTGAAGTGTTCCATAACAGGAGATAAGCTGAAGGTGTGAATTATTATTGTTATTATTATTGAAATGCACTGGCCTCTGCCTATTCAGCGAGCTTCCCAGCACTCACAAAAGCATAGAAGTGTCCAGCAACTGAATTCCATATTTCAGGAATGGTTCCCAAGTGGCAGGATGCATGGGCTATTGTTCGGACAGCCCCTGCCTGCTGCTCAGGAGGCATCCAACAAGATTCCAGGCAGAGATTGCACCAACCAGCCCTGTAACACCTTCTCTTTCCCTCCTCCATTTTCCAGGCCAAACTAGGAAATAGCTCAGTAAGCCCCAATGTGGGCCACCTCATCCTGAAATATCTGTGCCCAGCCATTCGGGACATCCTGAGCGATGGGCTCAAGGCTTATGTGCTGGACGTGATCATCGGCCAGAGACGGAACATCCCCTGGAGCGTCGTGGAGGCCTCCACCCAGCTGGGTAGGTAGCCCCTCAGGCTCCGCCTTGTTGTTTTGAGGAATTTGCCCCCTGAGTCTCTTTCTCGGCCACCCCTCACTCCTCACCCCTATATTGGACTGTTGGTCTACAGAGGCTAGAGGGCATGGAGGAGGAACTGAAAGACGTCTCTTTTAAAGCAAAGCTGCTACAATGAAAGCCCAGTCAGGATCCTCCGTCTGCCTCTCTCTCCCTCTCTGTCTCAGCCACAGGTAGAGTCAGGGTGGAGGCTGGAAGGAGGCAGGGTGTGCTCCAACAGTCATGGGTTGAGGCTGGAAGGAGGCAGGGTGTGCTCCAAATTGTTATGACATGATGGGGAGTGTGGTGGAGATCTGGGAGGTGCTTTCTGCTGCTTTCCCAGCCAGAGAGCATGCTTCCCAATGCAGAAGAAGGAACAGAGAGAAAACCCAGATTAACACGCACACACTCGCTGACGTGCACACAGACACAGACAGACAGACAGACAGACACCCACACAAAGCCTCTCCAGCTGTCTCGGATTACTTACAAAAGTGGCTCCTGAGAGAGAGGGCTGGCATCTGTCAGAGGTGGAGGAGAGGAGCCCAACTGCTCGGTTCCTCCCTAAGGTGGGTGGCTGGGTGGGTGAGAGTTCTGCTCTCTTGCCAACCCCCCCCGGGAATTCTGAGGGGGTGGGGGAGGCTGCATCTCTCCCTGAGGTGCCCAGGTTGCTTGATAGCTCAACCCCCCATAGCTTGGGAGAGGACTTTGTGCGGGTGGGGGCAGAATCTGCTTTATTTTACTTTTTTTGCAGTTTTGTGTTTTAAATAGAACCCAGTCTCCACCCTCTCCCAATAGCTGCAAAAGACAGAGACTCAGAAATAAGGAATCCCGTGTCTCTGAGCATGTACCAAATTCAACAGAAAAGAGAAGGATCTTAGGCTGCTTTTAGCACGAGATTCCGCAGAGGTAGGGGGCCTGCAGTCCGCAAAACATGCCTGTTGCTCTTCTTGGAAGCCACATGAGTCTTTTGAGCCCACTGAAAGCAGACTGGGCAGACCGGCTGGCTCTTTGGGAATTCTGAGCCATGAGATTTGTTGGGGACCGGAAGCCTGGAGGGCCCTTTTCCACATGTGGCTCTGCCTGGTTCTCCCCCCCCCCC